GTTTCTCGAACGACGAATGGTCTTACTTGAGGATGCTGCTCGCGCGTCGCTGCCATGCATCACGCAGCCGTTGGTGGTCCGCGAGGTCATCTTCTGTCAGCGCAACGTCGAAAAAGCCATCCTATTGGAGAGTATGGTGTATGGTCAGTAGGCAGTTCATATTGAATGGAAAAAGTTCATATTGGCTTGGAAATTTGTGTGTTTTTAACCACCCACCGTTTTAAAAATGACGTTTCAAACGTTTTTTTGCCAACTTGATTGGAAAAAGTGCGCAACTTGATTGGGAAAAGGTGTAGTATTGCACAACGTTGACGCCAAGCCTCCATATCCGGAAGTGACAGTTATGCGGATTTTATACCGTTTTACCATTGGGGTTGCGCAAAGTAAAATACAGTGACAGTAAACGTCAAAATACAGTCTGAATATACCGTCGCACCATTGGGGATGCCCTTAGGGCATCCCCCAATGGTGCGACTGTTAATCATGGGGTGTTCACTGGGGAATTCTCTACATAAGTGATGAAGATATCCCCATTTTTCGAAATCAAATCAAAGTTGTATATCACACGTTAGCTTCCTATACTGAGGTAACTAGTTATATAGGTAACACAGGCACTAGCATGTACAGCTGTACATATATGTACTGAGCATCAACTAGTTAAAGGGGCAACGCGCACGTTTTCGCCTTCCGGTTTCACTAACATGTCCTATTGAGGTGACCATGGTGCTGACTTTGACTCAGATCGAAGAAATAACATCAACGTCAATGGCGCGAACACCTGCACACCTCTAACTTTAACCATCGTTATACCGGTACACATATAGCTTACGCTGAAACAACTTGTTTCCCAGTTTCAAATGGGTAGTGAATTAATTTAACTAACAGTAAAGGGCGACACCCCATACCGGTACAATATATCGCCTCATCCTTAAATGGACAGGATGAAAAAGTATAAGGGCCCGTCTGGATACCACTTTTATTGAGAAATATCGCGATAATTTTGCAAAATATTCAAGAATCTCAGCGACTTCAATTTGGCGTGTCTGGATGCCCTTTCTTGACCAAGTTATATTGCATAATTTTATCAGAAATATCGTGAAAACCACAAGAAATAATATTCTACTCGTGAGTAGTATATTTTGACGATATTGACAGTGCGCGTTGAATTGACAGGGCATTTAAATGAGAAAGGCCATCGTGATTACATTCCTACGTCGATGGCTCATCCGCCGCCGCCTGGCCAAGGAACTCTTCGCCAGACAGATGGAGTACCACTACCTCGCCTTCGTCGACAAGACACCAACGAGGACGTCCATCCCCAGTGGTCCTCTCTGGGTGGACGGGGAAAAGATTATTTTCGAGCAAACGATGGATTATTTCCGAGCGAGGCTTTGGGATGGAGCATTTTAGAGCGTACTTAGACTATTGCAGTCTTTTCGAGCGTACTTAGTTGGGACAAAAGCTGTTGTGATGGAGTGGATTGTTTTAGAGCATTACGGATATTACCTAATGTGACATCCCTCAGTTACGCCTTAGAGCGTACTGCATCCACTGGGACAAACCGGATTGATAGTAAAATTAAGATTTTCCCAAGTGGGATAAACTGGGACAATGGATTCATTTGGATTCAATTTTGGATACACAACACACATTCCACAAGGGTTTTGCAAATTGTTAATGCGCAAACCCCGGGCATAGCATTACACGTACGATATCCGGGGTGGAGACGTAGTCTCCGTGGGGGAAAGGGTACGGTTCTGGTGAAAGAATGCTGGGGCTGGTGACCATGATGACGTCAACAATTATTGTTTGGGATGCACGGGGATGCAGTGGGATAAGTTGGATGATTGCACTTCGGAGAAGTATCATTAAAGGCGCCACAGTACTCAGCATTGGCATTTTAGTAACCATATGATTTTATTTGCTCGGAAATTCACCAATGACTAACACTTGTTCTTGCGCGTATTAAGTGCGCTCAGAAAGTGTCTCTCTGGACTATTTTGCTCGAAATCGATCCATTCTAAGGCGTGCTCGGAAATGCTCCATCATTTGCTCGAAACAAATGCGCACCCGGGTGGACGAAGTCCTCTGCGGCAACAGCAACAAGGCCATCGAGACTTTCCGAATGTCAAGAGCAACTTTCTACAGCCTCTTGGCAACTGTGACAAGCGTAGGAGGACTGAAGCGAACGCGTCACGTTTCATGGACCGTACAGCTGGCCATATTCTTGTTGTTCTTTCTTGGCCAGTGCGCAACAAGCTGGTCCATACAAGAAAGGTTGAACGATCAAGCGAAACGATCACAAGACATCTCCGAGCAGTTCTGAAAGCACTGAAGCGTCTCAGATCAAGCTACATCATGTTGCCGATAATGCGCCACGTGCATCCAAAATTCAAGGAAACCCCAAGTTCTTCCCGTTCTTGCAATACTGCAAGATGTCGATTGACGAGACCCACTATTGTGGCTTTTCCCCATAGGCGCACTACTAAAGGCGCATCGGGACGAGACCTTACGACCGCACGGCATTCAACGGCCAATGAAGTCCTGCCTACTTTGTCGTTTTTATCGACGATTACTCCCGCTTTATGTGGGCCTATTCCATGCGTTTTCGCAAAGATAGCCCTTGTACACTATGATGTTTGGGGCCCAAGCCAGATTCTGTCTCAGGGTGGCGCTGCATGCCCTTTGAGCACCCTTGCTTTTATGCATTACTTTAGGCATTTGCCTTACTCTATGGGTAACCATGCACTTATGTGTTTAACACTATGTTATGTGTGTTCCTATTCTACCTAGTTTGCCTCTGCTCTCAGGTTTGCTTTTGTAGTGACATGTCTTTGGCGGTTTTTGGCCTCCGCGATTCTTTTACTCAGCCCTTTTGCCTCTGGCACTGCCTTCTCTTTGAGAACTACGCGTCGAAGGCCTTAAGCAGCCCGTTGCCCAGTGGGGTGGCTGTCAAGAAGGGGCGCTTTGGCCGTTCTTGCTTTGGCCTGTTTCGCCGAGGTTCGGTCACTTACGGATAATATCCGGTCATCTGGAATTATCCAGTGTTCTTTTTCTGTAGAAGTCGGACTGTTTCTGCCCAATCATAGGTCAGCTAAGCAGTCCGTTAATGATTACTTTTGGTTTTGTCCTCGACCACTCAAGTGTTCTTAGTCGTCGTTCCTCCTCAGTGCTACCCCTTTTCTCGTCCCTCTTGGCAGAATGTAATTGACCATTGACTGGAGGCTTGATCATTCGTCAAGAGGTCTAACGTTACTGTAGGTCCCGGTTCTCCGCTGGGTTCACCAATTGAAGACCAAGAAGAAGTGAAGAAAAATGGGTAGTGCATTTGAATGATTTGTATTGTTGCCGCATATTGATTGGAGGAAATGATTAGATTATAATAGACCAGAAAAAGTACAACTAATGTGCAATATAATTCGGCCTCCGAAAGAGGTTCCCGTCCGGATAACGACGGGAGCGAAAACAGAGCGTCCGTAGCCCGTCGATGTCGGTCCTGTACTTGATCGCGTGTTTGGGTTCCAGAGGTGTTACTTCTTCGGCAACTACAGGGAACTTCAGAATGCAAGGCCTACCGAAGTATTCAACATTACAGCCGTAGTTTTGTCCAATCAAACAATTTCGTTGAAATTCTTGGTTTTGATTGGATATATTTTTATTATCCCGCCCGCGCGCAATTCAATAATTTCAAACCAATACTATTCAATGGCGCGCATCATGTACCCGATAGCCTTCAAGCTCCAGGCCCTGGGCCTCCTTGAGACAATGAGCGTATATCAGGTCGCTACTGAACTCGGTGTCGCCCGTCGAACTCTGCGAAACTGGCTCAGAAAATGCACCCAAATCCTAGCCTACAGAGGCAACAAGAAGGCATGAAACTCACACCTGGCGGCCGACCCGAGGTGTTTCCAGACCCACCTGGGTTGCTTGAGCTTATCCATGGATTACGGGACTCTGAACGAGCCCTTACTACGATGCATATGGTGATGTGGGTGAAGCGCAATCAACGCGAATGGCTTGTGTCGTACTTGGTGGACAAAAAGCCAGGCTGTAGGTACAACTCACTGCTCCTTCTCCTACAACGCTTTTGCAAACGTCATGGCATCTCGCGACAACGACCTGGCATGAGTAAACGAAGCCAAGGGGATCTCGAGGAAACTCATGACATCTTTGCAGCTGAATTCCACCGTGAGTACCGCGCACATGGAGCGGAGAGCGTGTACAATGTGGATGAGACAGGTATATTATGATATGCCACCTAACTACATTTGGTCTGTTCGTGGTGGCAGCTCTAAGATATCCTCAGGAGAGAAGCATTCGATGCGAATGACGGCTGTGTTGACCGCGAAGGCGGATGGGTCCAAACTCCCGATCCTGTTCATCATAAAGGGACGTCTGGTGGGCGAATCGAAACTAGCGAGTTTCCGACCTTTCCTGCTGGCCATTCCTATGCAGTCAAGAAAAAGCGTGGAGGGACGGCCGTGTGTGGAAGTCCTACCTGCGCACCGTCTTGCATGACCACATCGAAGAAGCGTCAGTGATCCTTGTCGACAACTTCGACTCGCACGTGTCCGAAGCATCCTATAAGATCATCAACGAAGACCTCGAGTCGCATCTCTGCCCCTTACCTCCAAACTCAACGTCGATGTGCCAGCCCCTTGACGTCGGCGTGATGGCGCCCTTCAAGCGGTACCTACGGGAACTGTGGTTGTTTGAAGACATCATCACAGGAGAAGACGAGGATCCATTTTCACTCACCGCCCGGCAGAAGAGGTTGGCGTTGACGAAGAGAGCTGTCGCTGCTTGGGAGATGGTGTCCACCGACGCTATCCGTGGCAGCTTTGAAAAGGCACTTCCTCAGGAACCAATGGATTAATTCGTTTTTATATTATCTGTTGTGAAAGTTCAGTATACTTGGAATTTGTATGTTTTTTAATAAAAATTGGAAAAAGTTCCAGGAATTGAACCCGGAGCCCTTCCTCAATAATGTTATGCCGTCGCACTAAACCGTTGCGCCACTGCGTCAAACGCTTACGCTTCTTCCGTGTTTACCATATAAATCATTGTACAATATTATACCAATAGTTTTAATACCACTCTATTTTTGAATGACCTCCTGAATTACAAGTTTGATTTCTTACAGTCAAACAGCATCATTGTAAATTTGACTTATAATTAAATTTCCTCTATAATTTTAATAGCTCTTTGAAAGATCTGAATATTATTTTGATGGGTCAATGTCATTGGCAGAAATATACACCGTACTTCGAAGTACATTTACCAATCAAAATCGGTTATTTCCATCCCACTCGAAGATAAGGTAGGCCTTGCATTCTGAAGTTCCCTGTACTGCAAACTCAGTGATGACTGCTCCTGGAGGTATCGTCGGTAGTGTGCTTACAGAGAACCCCGGAAATATCCGACAGGGGTTACAGCAAATTTTGTATGGGGATGTCGCCAGAGTAATAATATTCATTCTTGTGTAGTACTACGCTGCTTCACAGACGACGTTGGTGCTGGTGTTTGGTCTGGTGGGTGAATAATTGCACGTTCCACATGGACAGGAAATGCCTGTGATGACCGAGCTTGAAGGGTCTTGCTCTCGTTGGATGCGCACTTGCGAGTACCCTTCGTCCGGTGACACAAGCTCTTTGATCGTCCTTTTCGTGGCATTTGAACTGCGATGAAATGGATTCCCGCCATGATTATCAGATGAAATTTTTATTGTTTTGGCATTATAAATACTTCGATTTTTGAAATGTCATGAGAAGAAGCCAAATGTCCGAGGTGGAGCAATTTAAGCAAATGGGGCACTCTTCTCCTCACGGAGTATTGCTCTGATTGCCTTGAAACATAGCCCAGTGCATCCGTAAGGTCGAGTCGGATGTTGTGGACTAAATAACTTAGTAAATGACGTTGAGATGCGAAACAAGTAGGCTCCCCCGTTTTTTGGGAGACGTTTCGCCCAAACGTACGGGCGTATTGCGTGGGCAGTGTACTATATGGACGAATTGGGTGTTCCACCACGATCTGCATGGCACGGCAGTAACGGTTCGATAAGTTGTATCGTTCGTCACTTTCGACTACCAAGGGGACGTCGATTGTGTGAGCATGCTCGAAAACGCCGCCACGTGTGCCAAGATGGGTGTAAGCTACGAGGGCCATGTACAAGCACATGGCGGCCAAAACATGTTGATTAATCCTGGGGCAGTCGAGAACCAAATCATAGCTGACTGTATGGAGCGCGGTCATGGCCTTCGTGAAACGTCCTTTGATGTTAATCAACATCGTGCGAACACTGGTGACGGCGTTGTGGGTGTATCAGCAGTTTACAGCGCTTACCAAAGGTTGGATCCTGTCGTTTCTACCATAGCCCCGATCAAACAAGGCGATACTAGTCCAGACTCGCCGTGGGCTATCGCGCGTCTTAATTGGACGAGACAATTAGCCATTCGACTTGGCATTTGGCAGTGGGATTCTCAACGCCTTGGCCCATGTCCCCGTGCTTTTGATGCTGCCACTTTGACACCCGTGGCTATAACCCAAATAGTGTCATGGGATGAGACACACAAGGAAGTCAAAATTGGTGGTGGTGGCCACGGAAACAACAAACAAGTGCGCTTTCAAACGCGACGACAATGGACTAGTCGATATGCAGGGTGGATTGGCGTCCCCTAAGACGTACCTCAACACCAAGTACAGCTCTGAAGCCAGATTCTCGCTTGGTTGTGCAGTGATATCAAACGACAATGGTGTTCACATCGGGGTTCGTTGCGTACCCTTTGTGTACACGGGTCAATGGATTTGTACCATAAATGACTACGACGTTCTGCGCAATCAGGAAATCGAAAGAGTCAAGCGCCTACCGGGTGATTGCTCTGCCTGGGTTACTGGCTCCCGCGATAAACAATCACAAGGTAACGTTATAATTACTATATATATAATCTAGATAAATTAAGTGGCTTACAGTATGTTACTACCGGTAGTTGTTTTCGAAGGTGATTGCGTTTCAAAACTGCGTGGAGTGGGACCACGTTTACGAGACCAATTACGTGGCCTCGGAATTGATACTGTTGGGGCGTTGGCTGCGACAAAAATCACTTCCCTGACAACGACCTTACGTGGTGTCAGTCTGCGGCGCCTGCAGGCATTCCAAACTCAGGCCATGCTCGCCACTCCCGGAGTCTACATTGATACTCAGATCGATCACAGACTGGCATCCAATCCTTACCAATCCCGTTATGGGGACGATTGGGAGAATGTAATTGATCGCTCATCTGCCTTGGCAGGGCACTGCTGTGTGACAACGCTCATCGCGCACATCGTGACCGAGTCGGCACGAGTGATGGGTGGGACTCCCCAGGAAGAGAACTGGTTTTTCTGGCACGATGCATTGACGCAGATGGCATGCACGACTACGATGAACTGGATGAGATTCAAGGGATATCTGCACCGATGGTTATTACCGGAGCACGACCTCAACACTGGAACCGTCTTCGCAGGCAGGCCAATCGGGAACAGCCCCGAATGGATGTGTTGGGACTGTTCCCTAATCAAAGATGTGGAAAATTCGTTCAAACGACACAAGGCATGGACGGCCCACCTACCTCGAGACGCCCCAGCCAAGTTTTGTGCCTCCACACCCAAACGAATCGAGAGTGCATACATGCGCTTCCTGGATCCCCGTCTAGGAATCGATGCCGGCGTTCCTACGAGTAAACGAATTGTTTAAGACGTGAAAAGATGCTTTGGAGACCACCTTTTGGCCATCATAGCTGCAGAAGGAGCTGTCGTCCATGGACTGGGAAATCGGCAAACGCCGTCCGGACAGGGGCAACGGGCACGGTGGGAGGCGTTTGAAGTCGGTTCAACTGCCCATTGGCTCCACCCTGACGCCGAAGCTGGACTTGCTGATCAACTCAGCTTGGCGACCAGTGCAATGGAATCCTCAATTTATGTGATATTTTCGGCGCTCGTGTAGGTCTAGGTCACTGTGGTAATTTTAATGTTGCTCTCGAATAAGAGGATGGATATTTAAATTGAAAGTGACTTTTAAGTTGCCATCGTACTATAGGAAACGTGTATTGGTTTTCAAGGCAGTATTATAAGGCCGTTTCAATTATAATTTGAGGTGGCTGGATTATGTAGTTGTACCAATAATAGACCAAAATTTGACGGTATTTCGAGCAAAATTGAAGAAGTTATGAAAATTTGGGAGACGGTTCGCCCAAACGTACGTAGGAGTACGAAGTACATTTTTATTGTTAGATATGATTGGTAGAAATTACGAGCGTAACGTTGAGGAAATATACGGTATCGTAGATTTTGGATCATATCATCAGGACGTCGTCGGAGTACGGAACATTTGAATTATCATTAGATGTACACTTTCGGGGGTAGGTATTTGCATCATTTGATGTAGTCATTTCTTTGCGACGCTATAGGGACGATCGTTCTCCCTGGTGATGACACCACCTCGAAATCCACTTTTTGCCCCCCCTTTTCATGTATCCTGCAGGTAAATGCACTAAGTACACAGTCTGCAATGCAAGTTCTGTGCGGCGCTTTTGCCAGTCGATCCACGTACTTCGAGGTATTCCATGCTCCGCACAAAAAGTGCGATGGCTCGTTGCAGTGGCTTCGAACATGGCCAGGAACTTCTTGCGGTGTCGCGTCGGCATGATGACAAGTGAAGCGTTTCAAATTTTGAATTTGAATAGGCCAATCATAAACTTGCATTAATACTGCTTTGTGATTGGCTTCGCGATGGATAAATTCAATTTCAAAGGTGCGTCGACGATGACTAAAATTACATCAATTTAGACAGTTGGTCGGATATTTTGGGGGGGTTGGACTTTTCCGGGGTTCTCTGTGGTAAAATATCACATACCATACATTGTTAGTTTTTGTGTGCGTCGCACATGAAAGCAAACACACTTCAACCAAGACATCGTTTTCTTAGTTTTCCCTTACAAATGCACAACGCTACATATATGTTCTGTATCCATAAACCCTATTCCCACAACAAGCACTTCTTGGACGGGTTCAAGTACGAGTCGGTGGGGCACTGGAAAACACGGGCAAACTCAGCGTTGTTTTGCAACGCCCCTGTCACGCGATACCGACCGCGCGGATGCGTCTGCTTCAAAGATCTGAGGAGGAAGGCATCCGTGTTCTTGGAGCACGCGGATTGAGCGAACGACAAATAGAACAACTTGTCGCCTGCTTCTTCCGTGTACTGGGACGGAAACTCCTTCAAGTACTCGTGGTACGCGCGGAAACTGGTCTTGAGCCCCCCATTGTCTGCAATGTTTTCATTCAAAGAGTCCTTGCCGCTGATGTTGCCCAAGACAACGTCAGTCACTTCGCTATTGACGACAATGTTGGAGTATTGGTCGCTAAAGCACTGGGCTTTCGTCTTGAACGCATCATTGGTGGCGTTCGACCACCACTGTTTCAAGTTGCCGTCGCCATCGACTCTGCGGCCGCTTTTGTCGAACCCGTGGGTAATTTCGTGTCCGATGACCATCCCGATGGCACCAAAGTTCTGGGCGGCGTCAAACTGGCCGTCAAAGAATGGTTTTTGCAAAATGGCGGCCGGAAACACAATTGCATTATCGTGAGGGTTGTAGTACGGGTTCGCCTCATGGGGGGCACGGTTGAACTTGCGCTTCTCCACAGGTTGTCCGTTCAGCTTCAAGTCGGTGTCGATGTTCACTTGAGACACCTTCCACCGGTTGTTCAAATACGACTTCGAGTCGAATGTGAGCGTGGGGTACAGCTGCGGCTTCTCTGGGCCACCCAACAAGTGTATAAGCTTGGTCAGCTTCGTTTGCGCGTTTTCGCGAGTCGAGTTGTCCAACCAGTCGGAGGTGGCAATGCCAGTGGAGAAGGACGACCTCAAGGCCTTGACGAGATCGTCGGCCTTCTTGGCTGCATCAGCCGACAACACCGCGTCTATGAAGTACTGGCCGATGAGATCCCACAGGGTCTTGCTCGTCTCAGATAAGCAGTAGTCTTCACGAGAAGTTTCCACCTTTTGGCCATAGATTTTCTTGCCGAATAAGTTCCAATTGGCCGTGCTGAATTCAGGGGTCAAGTGCTTCGACGAGGAGTGGATGAGCCTGTACTCCACGATAGTGCGGAGGTTGTCCAGCGGCGTGTTCTTCAACAACTTTTCGGTCGTGTCAAAGTAGTTCAAGTTCAAAAACCCCACCCAGTCGTTCGACCCACCCCACTGGTCGTAGATATCGAAGCCGTGGGCCCTGAGCCACGAGCCGACGAGCAGCGGGTACTTCTGGTTCAGTTGGGAGTACGTAAGCGCAGTATACGGAGACACAACGGCCTCCATATCCTTGAGCTCCCTGTGGGCAACACCCACCACCGCTTGCTCGAAACGGATGATCACAGGCACGGCAGCTGCCGCTTGCTCAGCAGTGTAGCCAGCTAGCTGCAACACCGTCGCAATGTACTCCTTATACTCGGCTTTGACGAGCTCCCACTCGGAAGGGTTGGTGTAGAATGTGCGACCAAGCGACAGGGGGGGTACGTAAGCGAAGAGGTTGTTCTTGGTCGAGTCGTCGTCAACTCTGGAGCTGATGTCCACGAAGGCAGGGATGCCGTTCTTGGCCAATTCACCAGCCACGATGAGGAGGTCCAACTTGGTCCTTGCCGACCGAATGGCTTTGAACGAGTCCTCCAGCGGAGTCACGCCGAGCGACGATAGCGTAGCCGTGTCCAAACAGGAGTTGTAAAACTGACCAATCTTGGTCGTGTTGTCAGCGAAAATATTCGCCAATACGGCTTCGCTTTTGATGTTGATCTCGTGGAACGACGTATCGATATCGTGTTTGTCCGGGGGAATCACAGCATCCTTGTGCCACGCGCCACACGCATATTGGTAAAAGTCGTCGCAGGGGTTGATGGAGTAGTCGATGAGCTTGGTCACAGACTCGGGGAGTTCCGTGACGGAGCCAGCCGTAGCGGCAGCGGCCAACACGCTGAGGAAGATGAGGACTTCGGCCATCGAAGAGCGAAAAGGAAAATGAAGTTGGCCAAAAATGTCAACCATTGAAGCGAAGACCAGGCGTGCAAGTCGGTTACTGCATTCAACCGGATTCCCACGACGAATATTATTGACCAAGCAAGCAAGGTGCATCCACCAACGTATCTCGATGAGACATTGAAGTCGGCATGTGGAATAGACTTTGAAGTACTCGTAGACCCATGCACTAGTTGTGATTGGCCTTCGTCAGGAATTAGTTCCAGTCGTATGGTGCCCTCCATCTATATACTACCCATTGGCCAATTCCAACTGTCAAGTACTACAGTAGTATTATACTTACTCGGAGTACCTACTACGGTATAAGTGCAATGCCATTACCAAAAGACTTATACCGATACTGTAACTCTTTTGGTAATGGCATTGCACATTCTAACGGAACATTATGGGTTTAATTGAGTTTGGATTATCATTTTTAAGACATTCCTCCGCGAGAGCCGACACTAGAACCACATGTTATGGAACCGCTTCGCCAATTGCAACGCGCCTGCTCCACCAGGGGCGGTGTGTAATCTTCGGTTTTTACTTCGCTCAACGCTTCATACCTCGTGCTTCGACCGATCTTCTTCGAAGTTCGGTCCTCGTCTTCGTACGCGGCCCTTGTTATCCGGATTCCCCAGGGGAGGGACGGATAAATCCTTGCGGAAATAATCCGGGGAAGCCGGGGATCGAACCCACGACCTTTGAGTTAAGAAACCGATCAACGGAACATTATGGGAAATGATTACACGCATCGCATCGTTTTAGGGTTTACATTGAGCTATTTCAGGGTAAAAGGTTTAGGGTCAGGTTTTTTGGGAAACACATGTGGTGGTTTTATGAGCGGGGTAAAGCGGGTCAGGTTTTCGGTAAATAGTTGGTGTGGTGTGATATGACAGTTGGCGACTTACTAGTGTCATAAAAGCCAGGTGTTGGTGATATATGTATGTAACCGGAGTTAAGAACATATACGAAGTATTAGACAGGGTGAATCAGAGTCGATTACCTAGGTTTAAGAACCGATCCATGGTTGGATTATCATTATTAACACATTCCTCCGCGAGGGCGGATCCTAGAACCACATGTTGAGGAACCGCTTCGCCAATTGTAACGGGTAACGTGATGAAATCGTTAAGGAATGCTCAAAATCGTTAAGGTGTTTCACGCAATTTCCGCCCAGCTTGTCCTACTTTTGAAGTCTCGTAACTCGTCGCCCGTGTGTGTGATGATGCTGCAAAAACATGCATTCTCAAGGACATGAGGAGCTTTATTAGTTTATGCAGGAACCATCGTTGGATCGCTTGTCCATTTTGCTCGACGAATTTTTCAATTCTGTAATTTTCCTATGTAAATGTAAATTCCGCCCAGGTGTTTGACTTAAATAATGTATGACAGATTTGACCACCAAAATTCTCAGAACCTCTTAATAGTAATATTTATTAAGTGTACAAGGTATTCTATTTATAAGTCATTGTAATTATGAGATTACATGCGGTATCGAAGCAATCAAATATTAAATGCTAAGGGTATTATTTACCGCAGTACCTGATTTTATCCAATCATCTTCGTTCGATGATTGTGATTGGCTGCCAACTGGGCGGAAATTACATGGTCGGTCGAAATTGCATGAATCACCTTAAGCCGGGTATGAAAAACGTTAAGACCCACCAAAATTCTGATAAAATGGAGCGTCTATGTGGGATGACATACCAATTTCATCAGATGGCTCAAGGACAGCCCTTGAAGTTCTATTTGTAGGCATAGAATGTTGACGATGAAGTGGGATGATCGCACCATATCGAAACATCTACAGTATTGTAGCAAACATCAGGTATAGTACCGTATTTGTTTAGTATCCTAAGGCGAAAATGCAGTTCCTATGCAAAACACCGAAACACCAGACCAAAATACATCGAAACGCCGCCACCAAAGATTTAAAGAAGGATGTTAACTGTAGTTTCGAAGTCAAGTGCTATGTCGTCATTTCTACATCTAGGAGGATCATTTGTACACAGTTAAGAGCTTGGAAGTTCATTGAGCGGAGATACATGTATGAGTAGACCAAAAACATTGGTGGTCTAAACAAGTCGACCGTCGATATCGGGCCACTCATTCACTCAATTCAACAGCCATAAGAAACACGTAAGTGCCTCCAATTCGTAGAAATGGATGCTCCACAGCGCGTGATTACGACTGGGAGATGAATTCGTGCATGTGTCGATAATGTCGATAGGGTTTCTGTTACGATAGATCGTGCAATTCATATCGACATTGATCGCTGCATGCACGAACACTGCCGTGAGTAGTCGATTCATGGTCGCAGACAAGTTTACTGGGAAACACAGTGCTACGTAGGATGACCTTAGTGTAAACAAATACTTCGAAGTACTTCGTAGTATAGCGTTGTGTTTTGCTCGCTTTTCGCTTTCAGTGCACGACAAACGACCCAACCAGATTTTTATTGTGGTTGAAACAAGTAGTCGTACCGAAGGTAGTACAAATGGTCTCAACTGTGAAAGCACACGACTCATGCATAGAGTAAAACGAACTACCTACTGGAGTGATTTGGAGGTCCGGTATTGAACGCAACGATGTAGCTAAAGATATGGAGGACCTACAGTATAGGTGATTGTCTCATTAGAATATGTAGCACTGCGGGAGGAAGCGTGTGTAGTTGAGGGCAAAATGCACAATGAATTAACTGAAGATCTACAAAGATCTCCTTAATCCTCATCACTATGAAATCTTCTTAGTCTACTTCACTACTTCTACACTAATATGCATTTTTGTATACAATGGATGCGGGTGCGGTTGAAACATTGGGGAACTTCACTGGGCTAGCGATTCTTAGCTATACTTGCCTTTGAGACACGTTCCCAGGCAAGCATGAGCTAGGGTGCGTTATGAGCCAGGTACTTAGGAGCTGGGTGCGGGCAAGGTGGTGGCAAGCCGTTAACCCACCTGTCACATCGCTACAGAATATATGTTTTTGATCGTTGGTTGCAGCTTGATTTTGGTAGTGCGTCAATGTAGCTCGCCAATCCCCGATTTCGGGGCTGGTTCCATGCCACGAAAATTGCGAAATCGCACAAATTTATACATCACATAAAGGTTTTGTTCCAAAAGATATAAGTTAATGCTGGTAGCTCAGCGGTAGAGCCTCAGGAGTTCTAATCCGGCTTTTACACTAATTTTTAATATTAGCTTTTTTAACCACACACCTCG